CCTCCAGAGGCAGAGCCTGAGGAGGTCGTTAAACCAAGGAGTGTTTCTTTCTCATCTCCAGACCAAACACATCCGTGTCCTACACTCCCATGGGCCAGGCTGGCAGCGAGCTCCAGCTGGGTTTGAGATATCCCTGGAGTCAGGCTGGCTCCTGGCAGCTTCCAGACTGGGAATGTTGTGCTTTAGGCCACAACTGGAAGGAGAGAAGGACGGTGCAAAGCAAACCTTTGGAATTACAGCTAAGGACAGATGCTTTGTTGGAAGGTAAAAGGCCACAGGCCCTTCCTCCCTCTCACCTCTGGGCTCTCTCCACACCTACCTACTCCTGCTTCCCTCTTGTCCTGCCTCTTTCCATCACAGGAGCTCATCCTGGAAGATCTGATCTGCTCCCACCCGTCCCAGGGTGGACTCTTTAACCAGGGACAGGACTCCTTCCTCATCCGGGCGGAGCTGGGATGCCTTCCTTCCAGTGGGATGAAGATGGACCAGTATGAGCCTCAGCTGCAAATCCCACAGCTGCAAATCCCACAGGAACGAGGGACACGGTGCAATTCCACCAGCTGGAAATCCCGGAGCGGTCAAGGAACGGGGCACGTGGTGCCACCCCAAAAGCTGGACTGGTGACAGGGGAGAGCCCGGCAAGAGGAAAGGGGTTGGTTTTTCCTCTCTCCACGCCGCATAAAAGGACTAATCCATATTTGTTTGGATTATACAAGCTCCAAAACACACCTCAGCCTCGGAGCCACCTTCACCCAATCGCAGGAGCCATTCGGTGCCTCGTATATTACTGGGCAATAGAGATTTAAGGGATAATGGTCATGGCAGCAGAGTATACAAAGCAATAAACTGCTTTTGAGGTTGGTTAAATGCCAAGTGATGCTGAGGCCTCGATGCCATAAACATTATTTCTATTATATGACAAGATAAGAGGATACAATAAACCACAAAGAAGAAAAATCATTTTCTGGCCTCGTGAAAGTTCTGGGCTCGGCGTTTCCTGGACACTGCACGGGCAGCACCTCCGGGCAGGGGTTTAGGGGGAATAAATTGGGAAATTAAGGGGAGGGTTTAAAAAGCAAGCGATTGTCTGAGGAAATGGCCTGGATAACTGGAGCTCTGGAATCAGGAGCGGACTTGTCTCACTTATAAAAGTGAAACGGCGTGGAGGGGGAAGAAGAGGGTGGGGAAAAGTCATGCTCCCAGTTGAATATATTCAATATTATGGCCCCTCCGTTAGTTCTGGCAACAGGAGTGGATAAACAGCTCAATTAATCAAGATATTCCTCCTCGAGCATCCAGCGCTCCCAAGGCCTCCTTGTCCCAGACCCGTGTGCTGGGTGTGTTGTCAGGAGGTGGGTGAAGGTTTCATTCCCTTGCTCCAAGGAGGTGGGTGAAGGTTTCATTCCCTTGCTCCAAGGAGGTGGAGCTGTCCCCCTGCACAGACCTCGGGAACACACCTTGGGAACGCCTCCCAACTCCGATGGCAACGCCCAAGTTCTCCCGAGCCCTCGGCTGCGCTGGAGCCTCTCACCATGCAAGCGCTTGGAAAGGGGATTAGGAGACTTTCACGGTGATTAGCAGCACACACCACCCCAGATTCATTTCACTGAACAGATTCAGCGACTCCAGGCATCACTCTCCACCTTCCACAGGCATGCCAGAGGCAGGGCCCAGCTCCAGCTCCTGGGAGGGGGACACACACGTTCCTGCTGGGGAACAGCTCCACTCCCTCTTGCCCAGAGAGCTGGGGAAGAAGGGAAAATGTGCCACCTGTCCTGCTGGGGAAGGAACCAGACACACGACCTTGGGAAGAACGTTTGTTAACGGCAGCATCTGCGGCACAGTCGGAGTCAGCTGTGCCACCACGGCCCCGCTGCTGGGAATGGACTGCCAGGAGAATCCCAAAATAACCCCCACTGCAGCCCTGGCAACCCAAACATGTTTACAGCCCGCTGCACCCCCCCCCCGGCACGGCGAGATCTGCTCGGCTATTTTCGGTGGCCATTCCCTCTTCCCCCTCCTCGCTGCCCTGAACGGCTTTGCAGCCTTTTTTCCACGTGGAAACAGGGAAGGAAAAGGAGGAAAAAAGGGCATAAGGCATAAGAGATGGGGCTGTACCAGCTAGAGAGGGAATGAAGCAGCTGATGGTTCAAAGATTAACATAATTTTTTTTTCTTTTTCTTTACACCAAACGGGGAATCACCACTGGCTTCAGATCTGCTTGGCTCAGCTCTCCCCTCTCCTCTTCCTGTGCCCAGGGGACTGGGCATGGGATCAAAGGTTCAGCACTGAAAGGAACTGAGCGTGGAAGGACCTGACCAGGAGTCATCCCAAAAATGCTGACCTGGACAACACCAAGAGGCTCAACAGCCACTGACACCCTCCCATTCCAGAGGCTTTTCCAAAGCAAAACGCACCCAAATTCTCAAGGGAACAGAAGCAAAGGCTGAATTCTTGCTGGAAGTCTCCCTCCTCTCCAGAGCCTGGTTTGGGGGGTGGGGGGAAATGTTTCCCAGTACCACAGCCCTGCTTGGGTCTACAGGCTGTGTCTGAGTGGGGAAAATGGGATTACCTTCCCGAAAGCTCAAAGCTCTGGATGTACAGACTCTGCTGGTTAGGGTGGGTTGTTTTGTTGGTGGCTCACATGGACCTGAATGTCCTTTTTTGTCCCCTGTGTTTGAAGACAAATGTCTCCACTGCTGGAAGTCAGGGAACAAACCAAGAGAGCTGCAGCCCCCTCTGACCCTTCCAAGGCTCCACATTAAGCTGAGTAGACAGGGAGAAGCCATTCCTGATGGGGTGATCCCCAGTGGCTTGTCCAGGGTCAGGGTTCAGTGCCAAAAAGCAGCACAAGCTGTTGGGGAACCAGTGTGGCCCCTGTCCCCTGAGTCCTGTGACAGCTGCAGCCCCCAGCTCCAAATCCACATTTATCCTCCAAGCTCCCAACTGTGCTGCCCTGCCCAGCTCATCCCAGTGATGATTCCACTTCATTCTGTCGGCCCAGGAAGCTCAGCTCAGCCAGAATCAGCTACAAAAAACTGCAGGTAAGGCACCAGGACTTAGAGAGAAAGGCTCAGAGCACCCTGGGTTTAGTTAAGGGATGACCCAACGGGCAGCAAACATCTCCCAACACCTGGAATTCCACAGGCAGGATCTTCTGTCCAACAAACAAACATCAACTCCATCCCCGGCCCAGAAGCTGCAGCCAAACAGGTTCAGACTGGAAACGAGGCATCGGTTTTCCCTCCCAGCAAAAGCAATTAACCATTAGAGCAACTTAAACCGAGGGCTGTGGTGAATTCCCCGTCGCTGGAAATATTTTACATCAAGCTTGGATCATCACATTTAATACCTGCTCTGGTTTGAACAGGCATTGAAGGACGTTCTAGGAAACTGTGCACGAGGTCAGGCTGGATCACCATGAATCATCCCGCTATGAATTACCCGGATTCCAACATTTCCATATTAACATGAAGAATTGTCAGAATTACCCATAAGCAGCAGGCTGGAACAGCGAAAGGAGGAAGCAACCACCTTTATATGTCATTTGTGGGAGATTGTGGGAGATTAAATTTAAATACATTGTTGTTTGCCTTAATTGCTTGTTTGAATCCGATTTTAAGGCTGTATGATTGAAGTGCTCACACCATTAAGTGCTCAAACACAGCTAATACATTTTATAAATGACTTGCACAATTTCACAGGCAAAGAAGTTTCAGATAAAAAGCAGCCCCACAAAAAAAAAAAAAAAAAAAAGACGCAAAAGGAGGAGGAAGATCACCTGCAAGTGGGCAGAGAAGGCTCCGGATGGGGCTCGTGCCAGAAGGACCAGAAAGCTGGGAAGCCTTAACTGTGTGTTTTCAAAGAGCCCCAGTCCCCAGGAGTTACCAGATGAGGGTTTTGACCCATTTTTGTGCTATAAAAACAAACAGCACCACAGAACCCACACTCAGCCTCAGAGGAGGCGCCCTGGGGAGGCAAAATTATCTGTACTTTCAATTGAGAGACCCACAGGAGGCATTAAGGTACTAAATAAATTGAAGAACTGGGGACACACACACACACACACGGGGGTACCCTGGGATTGGTTATTGCTCCCAAACCCATCCCAGCCATCCCAGTTTGGCAACCCAACACCCAAAGGCTGCAGCCAGGAAACCAGAGTGAGCACATCCCTGAACATCTAATTCAAAGCCACGATTCCCTCGCCTTCTCCTTCCCCTACAAAAGGCATTTTGAGGTCCTAACGCTTCAGAAAAGGCAAACACAAATCTCCCTGGGGCTCTGCACGGGGCTGCACTTCCACAGCAGCCCCAGCTTCCCAGAGCTCCCATTAAATCAGCCCCAGCAGGAATTGCATGATCCTCCTGTTCCTCCCAATACCAGGGCGTGTGAGAGACCCCAAGCTCAGCACCAGTTCCCCTGCAAACCCAAGGAAAATGGGATGGGAAGGTGCCTGCCCAGGCAGGTGACGGCAAGGGGATGTGCCTTGTCCAGATCCCTCGTCCCAGGGAAAGGCAGCAACAGCTCCAGGGGAAGGGGAAACTCACAATGGGATGGCAAGAAAAGCCATCCCAAAATAGCCACAGCAGTTTGGGGCTCACCTAACACAGACCATCACCTGTCACATTCCCAGCTGCTCCACAGGAGCCACCTCACCCCAGGGTGGGGGGCTGGGGAGTGGGTCTGTCTTTTGGGAGAGGAGGAGCAGCTTTAAGCAGGAGCACTGAATTCCAGGGGTTGGGGGGAATTCAGTGAGATCCTGGCAAACCCCAGCAGCACAACAAGGAGCAACCCCCCCACACCCCAAACCACCCCCACCCAAAGCCAGCTCCCAGTGCCTGCCCTGCTCGTAACGGGGATTTACACACTGCAAATCCCGGGATCTGATTACCTCCCGGGGATCACGTAAAACACCGGCTTTAAGCGCTTTTGGCTCCGTGATAAAACAGCCACTTTGATTCACGGCGCGGCCATAAAAAGTCGCCCGGATTCGTTACCTGTCCGCAGCCCGGGGCACCGCACACGAACGGCCTGTCGTCGCCCATATTTCACACGGCCTGAGCTGAGCTGGGGAGAGAGGAGAGGAGAGGAGAGAAGGGGGAAATTGTTAAATAAGCTCCAAAAAAAAAATATAAAAATCCCAGGTATCGAGAGCAGAAGCTGCCCCTTCGCTGGGCTGTCGTTAATCAGAGCGTGGGGAAAGGAGGGACACAACCTGCAGAGAGGAATTAATCCAACCCGGGGTTTAAATAAGGTTTGGGAGGTGATTTTTTTCATGGAGGAAGGGAAATGGGACAGGGTAGGCCTGGAAAGGTGTGGGAGCTTCCCATGCAAGGCTCAGAGGATCAAGGGAGCAGCTCAGTGTCACCTCCTGCGAGATGGGGACAACGCTCAACCCTTGTGAAAGGTCACCCAGTGCAGCAAAGACCCCTTGGTAGCAGACCCTCCCTTAATATTCACAGCATCACGGAATTGTGGAATATCTTGAACCCACAAGGATCAACCAGTCCAGTTCCTGGCCCAGCCCAAGAATTCCACCCCACACACGAGGAAAGACAGTGACAATCTCCAGGAAAACAAAGTGCAAGCAAGCAGCGATCAAATAAATCCAAGTCCTCTCTCTGCACCAGTTATATTTTCAATGGGAGAGAACTAAAATTTGTCATTTAATTAATTAAGGGATTATAGGAGTGGTGCTCCGTTTTACAAGGCAATAATCTGGCTCCCCAGTGGGTAAACTACAAGGCTGATGGCAGGGGTAGTTTATCACGGATTACAGCCAAGGATAACAAAACACTCAGCCCTATTATGCTACAAGTGAAGCTATTCTTATTAATAAAAAATAAGAGTAAATAAAGTAACACCCCCCCACCACACACACCTCAAATTCGAGAAATAACGGTCCCCTCCACCCACTGATATTTTTATAGGAGGATTTTAAAAAGCTGTAATAAAGCAAATGCTCTCTCTTCGGGGGGTTGCTGTGGGAACACGCTTGGGCTGCTCGTGTTGCCTCCAGCATCTCCTGCTCCAAGTTGGGCGCTTGGCTCAGCTGGGAGGGACCCAGGGCACAGCCATGGGCTCTGGGGGGAAGGTTCTGCACTTCCAGCCCCGAGCACCCACAGCGGGGTGGGCAGGGAGGGTTGGTATTTTTAGGAGCTCTACGAGAAAGTGCTCCAAGAATGCGGCTCAGCAGCGGAGGGGGAGCATGTGCTGCAGAAACAGCCCCTTCTGCTCTCAGTGAAAAGGCAAGGGAATCAATTATTGCTTAATATGAAAAAAAAAAAATAGGTTATTTTTCTGTTGCTGGGACAGTCAGCAGCTAAACGGGCTGGAGGGGATGAATTCCTTCCCCTCGCCCACAGTGACAACAACCAAAGTGTGGTGAGAGAGGAGCTGCCAGCTCTTCTCCCACAAAACCAGGAGAGAGAGGCATCCACAGCACCGAGCTGTGTCTGGATGTATTAAGCCAAACCCCAAGGTCTGTGCAAACAGGACTCAGAAAGGATAAATGTCCCTGTCAGAAATGGGACGGGCTGGCAGCCAAACCTCTGCCCGGGCCAGGACAGGGATAACAAAGGCAATCCAGCAGGCCAGGAGCATCCACCCACCTCAGAGCAGCCCCCAGAAGTGACACAGGGCTGGCAGAGCTGGAGGTGGCCTGGCATGGGACGGCAGCACCTTCAGCAGGAAGGGCAAATCCTGCCCAAGGCGAGCCTTGAGGCGACACCAAAATGAGCCTGAACGGGGACACGTTCCAGATGGGGCTCCTCACATCACCCCTCTGAACTTCTGCCCAAGCTCCAAACTGGGAACTCGGGAATCCAAAATGCTGCTGAAGAAACAGGGATCCCCCCCTCCATCGGCAGCCACCTGATCCTCCTCCCAGAGGAATCTCCCTGGGGGCCCCGGAGCAGCTGCCTCTCACACATCTGCTGTGTCCCAACAGCGGAGACACACGAGCCGCTCTCATGACCTGCTCCCAAGGCATGGAGAAGCCCAGGTTTCCTTGGGAAGTCTGAACAGGCAGCAGGAGCCTCTGGCAGGGAGAGATGAAGAGGTCAAACCCCTCTCCTGAGATCAAACCACGGCTCAGATCAGCTCCCTGACACTGCAAAGAGGAGAAGCGCAAAGGGATTGAACACACTCGAGGTCCAGAGCCCTCAGATGTGAATCCCACAGCTATCACACACCCAAAGTTGTTGTAGCTGAATCCCAGAGCTGTCACACCTGAATCCCTGGGGCCCCAGAACGGCCACGTATCCATCTGGATGCAAAGCTTGATTGTGTGGAGCCCAAAACTCCTCATCCTCAGGGCTGGGGATGCTGGTGAGCTGCTCCACAAAGGCACCAGCTCTCACTGTCTGTCCTCAATGAATCACAGCAATCAGAGGCTCTCTGCCACTGCAGCACCCCAGTTCAGAGCTGTGGCCCTGGGACAGCAGCAAAGTCACCCAGCACTGAAGGGCAGCTGTGATGGCCCTCACTGCCAGAGCCAGGCTGGTGCTGGAAGTGTCTCAAGAGCCTTTAAATCACCCTCCTACGTTTAAACTGGGCTGTGTGGGATGAGGCTGGGGATGTGTTTATTCCATCAACAAACAGATCTTAGTGTTAAACAGGAGTGGAGCAGCGCTGGAGGGAAATGCTGATTTCACAGGGCAGCCAGGCTGGGCTTTTTTAATTAACACAGGTCAGAGATCTGTCCTCACTGCCAGCACTGAGAACTGCGGGGTCTCTCCGCCTCATATCTGTCCTTCTGTGAAACCTCTCTGAGAAATTAAAGGACCAGCATCAGCTGCCAATCCCAGGGGCTCTGACAGCACAGGAGAAACCATCCCAGAGCCGATGGCACATCAGCTGCCCAGAGCAGGACAAAAAAACCCTGGGCCAACAACACTGCAAAAGCCTCCGTTTCCTCGAGCTTGCAAAGTGTCAGGAGGATTTGCTCATTCCTTAAGGCAAGATTTAGCTGCTCGTTCGCTGCAGAATATGACTGGTATGTACATACATGTGCTCAGATTTATGTCACATTTAGTCAGGATAAATTGCTTCAATAAATTCTGTCCTTAAGAAGAGGCAGAACAAGGAGCTGATTGGATACTGGGAGCACATTCCCATCCCTCTTCCGGCAGCCACGGGACAGTATTTCACTGTTTTGATGATTTTCAGCACGTTGGACACAGCGAGGGGAGGAAGAAATGCAGATTACTGAGCACTCCAGAGCTCAGTCAGACACACCTGAGAGGTGGCTGTTGGCTCAGGGGAGCTGGAGAGGCATTTGCACCCAAACCAGACCATCAGCCCCTCATATTCCCCAGGATACAACAACCCCTCACTCCATCCCAATCCCCTGTTGCCCCCCTGGATAAGGCCACTAAGTGGCAGGAGCATCAAACACTAACAAAAGGTGTAACATTGACCTTGGCCATGAACCACAAGCCCAGGGGTGAAGTTCTGGACAAGGTTACAAGCAGTGCCCAAGTGAGTCCCGTGACAGGGTGATGTTGTCACCTCTAACATTCAAATATGTATTTTACCCACCTAAACAGGCTCCTGGGGTAAGAGCAGGAGAGGGGAGAGGCTGCAGGTATCCAGTGAAAGCCAGAACCTTCCCTTCCCCTCGCAGCAATTCACTCACTGCCCATCAGAGCCTCTATCCATCACGAACCACCCAACTGGGACCCTGGGCTGGGATGAGCTGGTTTTGCTCACCTCAATAACCAGAATTCCCACTTATTTCCAAGTTTAATCCTTCCTGCAGACACCGAAGCCAGCCCAGATGCTGCCATCCCCACGGTACACCAGTCCATAAACCCAAGTGGTCCCAAAGCATGTTAACTAACCCATTAAGAGAAAACAGAGCCTGTTATCCTGGTCTAGACAGACACCAGGGGGGAATATTTGAAGTCCCTTAAAAGGAATTAAGACGTATTACATGCATCAACAACAGCAATCAAAGACCAGCCTTCCTGAACAGCACGTCCCCCAGGACACGTGCTGGCACCTCATGGAACCCATTTGAAAAACTTCAATTTGGAGTTTGGAAACAGCTCAGGAAGAGCCAGGAGGAGCAGGAGGATGTTTGCAAAGGCCGCTCGGCGCTTCTGGAGCCTTTCCTCCAAGATGCTCCTCTAATTGAGCTGTCTGAGCTTCAGAGAGGAGCGTGCGCCCGTGGCTCTGGGTGGCATCAGCCTGGTGACATGGAAAGGGACACAGTCAGGCTCACGATTGTCCTTAGCTTTGCCACCCACAGCTATTTTCACAGCCACCCCACAGCCGGGCACTCGCACGCGCCGGGATCGGGTTGTGTGTTGGTGAAGCTTCCCCGGACCTGTTCCAGCTGAATTCCTGACAAGTAGCTGAGGCTGGAAGCAGCCTCAAGCCAGGATTTGTAAATCTTGAGTCATGTCTCTTCTGGTTTGCCAAAGTCACGAGTGGCTGGCCCCTCAAAACAAACCCTTTTCCTTAAACCTCAGCGTGAAGACGGAAGAAGCTCCCGGCTCGTTCGTTCTGCTGAACTTTTGGGATAGAGCTGGGCTGAAAAATGCTCTAAAAATAAGGCTCTATTGTTGTCCTTGCATGTGACTTGTCACTGCAGGAATGTTCATGCCTGACACTTCCATCTGGGCCTTGCAGGGCAAGCTGAAATGCTCCAGATCCCAACATTTGGGTGTAGACAGACACTGTTCTGTGTTGAGGCTGCCAGCACAGATCCCTCCCAGCACGGATCCCTCCCCAGCAGGGATCTCTTCCCAATACAGATCCCCCTCCATCACTGATCCCTTGCTCCTACACCAGTACAAGCACATTTATGGTTTATGCCCATAAATCATGAGGAATAAACTTCACATTTATATGACCACAAAATTAATGCCGGGGGTTGCACCAGCTATGAAACAAAACCAGAAGAGCTGCAGAGCAACCTCCTAAAAATAGGCTTAAACAGAAGAGGCACAGAAGCACGTTGCACGTTCTGCTGACAGAGTCTCTCTGCTAAGATTTAGGAAGACCTGAGTGAGGAAAATGAGTCAGAAGAAAGAAAACTGCTGGAGAGAGAGGGACATCAA